AGTGGAGAGGAGGCGAGCGAGGATTTAAAAATGTATTCTCCCTCTCTCTCTCTCTCTGTAAACTCTCACACAACATCTCTCTCTCTGTCTCTCTCTCTCTCTCTCTCTCTCTCTCTCTCTCTCTCTCTCTCTCTCTCTCTCTCTCTCTCTCTCTCTCTCTCTCTCATGTCTCAAAATCTCTCTCTCAGATGTCAGAAGGAGAAGCGGAGCACAACAAAAATCCCCTTTCCTTGGCCTTTGCAGCCAAGCCTACAGGGCACCTAATAAATAAATAGAGCAGACATCTCCAGGAGAGATGGGCGACGCACGAACACAGAGGGACAGTGCGCACCCCGCCACGGCTGCCTGGTGCCCAAGGAGAGCCCAAAAGTGCGCTGCACGTCGAGCCCCAACCACACCCGCCCGACACATGCTGTGCCACTATTGCATCGGCACTTGAGGCAAACCCCACTTTGGGACCTATTTGAGACGGTGTGACGGCACTCACAGGGCACGGGAAGCTCTCCCGCCGCGTCTGCGTGGCCCGCCCGACCCGCGGGGAACGGCGCGCGCCCCTCCCGGCGGAGCTGGGTGCGGCAGACGGGCCCACGGGTCGGTTCCGGGCCGATTTGGGGCCGTTCTGTGTAGTTGTGGGTCAAAATCGAGCTACACAGTTAAAAATCTCGCCCCCACGGATGATACTTTTTGATTTTTCTAGCCACGATCATCGCCCGGGCCCGTGAGGCCATGGGAACGCCCTCGGATTGTACAGCACCCTCCACTAGCCACAACCGCGGGCCCTCAACCGCGTATCGGTGAGGCGGCAAAATAGCCTTCAGACGCTGTCTCGTCGTTATAAATCGGCCAATCTGGCCCCTTTGCCACAAGTTTTGCTTTGGGACGCACCGTAGCATGGTGGAGTCGAGATCCGGCGCGCAACCATCAAAAGTATCATCCATCGGGCCGGGCTAGACCTGCCACCGGAGGCGCGCAAAATGGAGGCGATTTTGTGGTGGTAAAGCGAAAGATGGCCAGAACGGGGCGCCACGCGCTCGGGAGCGCTCGCCACTCGCAGGCCAACTCCTCCCCAGCACGGTGCGTGCGTGCGCTCAGGTTGAACTCGATGCCGCGACTTCACAGCCTCCGCCGTGAAGCTTCCAGCACGTCGACGGCGGACGCTTTTCGGCGCCATGGTTTTGGCGCAGCGCTCGCCGGCTGTCATCCCAGTCCATGGTCGCTCCACAACGATTCCCAGGCGTGCCCGCACGCTCCTCAGGGGAGTGGGCACGCCTCTTGCTATCCTGAAGCGCGCGTCAAGCCCGCTCGACCGTGAGCTTGCTCAGCGAACAGTTTTTCAACAGACGTTGAGCGACGGGCGTGAATCTCCCACACACTCGCCAACTCCTGACTGAGCAGGCCTAGTACCCACGTGATAGCCCCACTGATCCATCCCATGCGATCAAGCGCCGCTCGGACCCCATCTTCGAGCAGGATTCCTCGCGGCAACACAACTCGGCGCTCTCGATGTGCGCGCTAGGCAGTCTCGACGCCGATTTCTGCCGAGCGTGCACGACTCGTAGGCGTACCGGCGTGCCGCTGGCATACTACGCGACGGTGGAGGCGCGTGGGCTTGCTCATAAGGCATGCATCTGTCGGAGAGCGTGCCGCAAGACCTGATGTGCCTCCGCTCCGGTGTGAGGCAGTTCGATTGATCCCGCCCAGCGACCTCTACGTGACGATTGAGGACTGCTCTTCCCCTTCGGCCGAGCCTCCAGTCCCTGCCACCGTGCACTGGCGCCAGCGAGCTGCATTTACATCCCGCACGCGCGATCGGCAGTCGAGTTACAACCCGCAGCTGTGCTGTGTGCGCGCGCACTCGAAACGTGGTTCGGCGATCTCTCGGCGACCACTCGTCGACTCGCGCTCAGACGCGAGGTGCGTGCTCGCCTGCCTCCCCCGGGAAGGACTCGGCCATTTTCAGCGAGATCTGTGGAATCATCCTCACCACCCTGTCCTCACGCCACCCAACCCGTCCCGCTGCTGCCATGCTGGGACATGAGTGCAATATTTGTGCTGCCCTCGCCATCCGACGCGTGTGCTCCGCTCCCCACAGGCGAGGATCGCCGTCGCGCACCAACACGCTTCGTCTGGGAGGCGCGCGGCGCGACCCGCGTTGCGAGAGCGTCGGCGGAGCCCGCGTGCCGGCCCTC